GCCTAAAATCCACATTGAAGCGCGCGAAAATGGCGGAATTCGGCATTCTCCAAGGCTCCTTATTTTGAATTTGGATGAATGGAAAACTTCCACCATGTCCAGAGACGAAGGGTCATTGCGGACCTCATGGTTATAACGTTGCAGCATGCCGCCTCTGGCGAGGGGAAGGGGATTGCAAGCTCGTCCGATCGCTGTAAGGTTGGCTTGCGCGCACGGGTTTAGGGGAGGGCAGTTTTAGACAGGGGCAGCATGCTGTGCATCGTATCTGCCCTCATGTTTGGGGTGCAAGCAACCTTCCATGCCAAAATTTCGAGTGGTTTTGCTGAGCCACAGCTCTGGGTATATCTAAACTTTTTGATTGAGCACAATAGTAAAATTACCTAGTGATATAGATGGATAACTCACGCCGGATGATCTGATTTTAAGGTACAGACATGTTCTGCACTTTGTACTTTCATCACTCAAGGTTTTCTATAGACCATCTCAAGTAATTCAAAATGTGCATAGTTCATCTAAGTATATTCTAAGTGCTAATTAGTAAACTAATTAGCACTTGCGCATTAAAACTTTTCGCTTCTATGTGCGCTTTTTATAGATGATTCGAGGTAACAGCTCTCGTGTTGGATGCTCCTTACAAAGATGTGGAATGTCGGCTGCTGTGGCCTGCTTCTATGACCCGCCGTGAGTTCTGTCCTCATAGCGTGAGCGCGCAATTAAGAATGCATTGTAAATACTTTTTAAGGCCCAACTTTTGTTGGGTAGACGCAATTTTGTACAGAACATCTCAAGGCGCGCGCTTGTATACTGTAATGCTCTAAATAATCTTGTGATAATTCGCGGATTTACAAGTTTTCAAACTCGAACGGAAGACGCACAACTTATGTACGCAACGAAAATTGTTGTTGAGAAGAAGTCTTGCTCAGCCGGCTCTTATTGTATAAGGCGATTGATGAAAAGTGTCGAGAAGCATAGACAGTGACAGCACTTGTAAAAATGATGGTTTTTCACTGTCATGTTGAATGTATTTTATTGAAGTAAAAGGCGACAATAAAAAAATGCCAAATGTTCTCTTTCACAAAATTTCTGTTTCGAAATAAGGCTTAAAGCTTCCGCAAGTTGAGTGAGTAGTAAGTTGATAAAGCAGGATAAACGAGAACATAGCAAATTGTAATCAAAGCCGTTCCTTACACTACGGCGACCGAACATATATAAAAGGTGGAAAACATAGCATTTGATAGAGCAAAGCAAGTTCTAAAAGATGGGGATGGCAATTTAGCAACAAAATCATCATACTGTCTATACGCTCAAGAGTGAAGTAACATTAAGGAACCTGTCAAAGGGACAAGCGATCTACACAGCTGGATCAGGTTGCAGTGAGGATGGTGATTGTACAACCTATCTTGATTCGCATTGTGAAGCCAGGAGCGGCCTTTGTGTTGCGGGGCACAATAGTGCAAACAAAGAATCGTATGAGAATGAGACTGTCATACCAGCAGGTTACAAGATCTTCTACATTGAACGAAAACATAATAGCTCTTGCAAAAGCTTTGAAAAAAACAGATGGAACTGAGATTACCCAGAAAAACTCTACCGAAATAGTCGAAAATAAAAAAGAAAACTTGAAGGACATTTCACCAACATGGATTGGGATGCCTAGATACGGTGAGTAGTAGACGGTATCCTTTTGATCAAATATTATGTAACTCGAAATTATAGGTAATCGTACGATGTGTCCGAACGTGAGCGGAATGACTGATGAAGTGAGGAAAAGATTCCTCGATGCGCATAATCGTTACAGGTTTGATTCAAGATTAAGCATTCATCACGAAAGTTTGCTGATCTATTGTAGATCGGCATTAGCAAGAGGACTAGTAGAATGGGGTAATGGTACGAAAGTACCCGCAGCTGCAGATATGGTCAGACTTGTAAGTTTACTCTTGATGATGATTTTTCAGTTATCTTGCATTTATCCAAAGAATCCTATTTAGCGTTACAACTGCGAACTGGAAATTTACGCATTTTCTTATGCTTCTACATGCTCTATGGAGTATTCCGATCTGGAGAGTAGGGTACATACGGGAGAAAACGTTGGTACGGTTCTTGAGGAGAATGCAGATACATTTGAGAAGGCCGTGATCGTGGTACGTTTTAAGGATGAGGCTTCATGAAATTGGCTTGCTATTCAGAAGCTCAAATGTCGATCCTTCGCAGGAATCTGCATTTGCAATTTCTAAACAAAATTCTTTTGCATGTAAAAATGCTGACAGAGGTGTTTACAGGTTCGCAGCCTGAATGCGCTGGACAGGCGTTATGTGTTTGTCAATTTTTTTTCCATAAAGAAAGTGGTTCAAAGATATCTTGAATGTTGGAAAAATATGGGGTGGTAGTAAACCTGTCGAAACTCACAGT